GGGGATAGAACCAGGTTGATTCGGTTGCGTCAGACACTGGGGTATAACTACCCCTCGGGCTGCAGCAGCAGTGCCCGGCTTTCAATCTGCTGCAGCGTGAGGTGCAGGCGGCGCCGTAGCAAGTAGAGAACAACTATCAAAACTAGAAAACGCGGCGCCTCTTGTATCTACCCAGATGAACACAGATCAGCCGCTGCCCCTTCCCAGGCGCCAGCCAGCAAGAGAACGAAGCGGAAGAAGAGGAAGGCGGTACCGATAACTCGAAAAGACCGCGAAGGTTTTGCCCATTTCATTCTCCAGACCGTGGATTTCTCCCAGCACTCCGGGGAGGTCTCCCTGGGCGTCATCAGGAAAGAGCTGGCGGCGGCGGGGATCGATGTTAAGAAGAACAAAGCCCGTATCAAAGCGGGACTTGGGAAGCTGGTCGCCACGAATGTCTTGCTTAAGGTCCCGGGCTCCTACAAGCTCATCGCAGAAGCGAAGCTACCCCATCCGCTGGTGAAGAAGGACAAATCGCCAAAGAAGCAGGGGGCAAGAGGAACAAAAAAGCAGCGAAGAAAAAAGCCAAGAAGAAAGCAGAGGCTCTTGTGGATCAGGAAGAGGGAACTGGAGAAACTGTCGCTTCTGTATCCTTTATGCAGTGGGAAACATCTCTCGAGGGGAAGCCCTAAAAGGCATAATTCTACTGACTCATTCTACCGAAAAAAGTAAATCAATCCAAGGCTCTTTTAAGAGCCACCCCCAAAAACTTTCCCTAAAAGAGCGTTAGCACAAATGTACCTTTAAAAAAACATTGTTTCTGTATTTGTCTAGGACCAGATCCTAGGCGTTAGGGAAGGTGAAAACTATATAAACGTGGGTCAGTTGCCTTCTTTACCAAATCAAAAAAACCCAACAAAATAAGGTCAATCCCCCTTTATTTTAAGTCAGTTAATTCAATGGCAGGATCTAACTAATCTTGAAGGCTCCCTGCCTTGTCCTGGTGTTGTTGGTTTTCCCTGACCTGCCTATCATAAAATGCATTCATCAATGGTAGTGCTGCCGTTTGCTTTCTATTCTAGGAATACATACAACACACACAACCCTCCCTAATCTCTAAAAAAAGCCGCGTTACAAAATATAGCACCAGGGAGCAAAGACATTCGCTCTTTTGATGAACGCTGGGGGATGGTTCTGAAAAGAACCGTTTTGGTTTTGTTTTTCGCTCCTGGCCTGAGCCGTCACT